CTTAGTTACTATTACCTAGCTTTTCTAGCCTTAGAATTATTTATAGAGAAACTCTAGTAGATTTTCTAAATATATAAGTATACTTCTTTATCTATAAGGTATTCTACTAATCTAGCTACTTTCTTAAGAGCGTCTAACGCCTTCTAGAATTCTTTATTAGTAAATAGAATATTCTAATATACGTGTTAGTAGCTCTATACGTTATAGAATTCTGCGTATATCTAGTACTATTATACGTTAATACGTTATTAGATAGTTTCTAGAGTAAGGTATTCTATATACGTAGAGTATTCTAGTATAATAGCTCTAACCTTAGTTAGGTACTAATCTAAGTTAACCTTATCTCTCTAGTATATTATATAGCTATTATTATAGTATACTATCTATATAAGGCTATTATAGTCTACCTAGATTATTCTAACTATTTTTCTTTTCTTTAGATATTCTTACGTAAAGTGTTCTTTTTTACTATAGACTAGGTATAGTTCTTTCTTAAAGTACTATGCTTTTTTCTTATTTCTTAGAGTTTATTTTCCCTTCTATAGAGTCTTAACCTAGTCTAGATCTATAGAATCTCTCTAGAATATAGTCTATAGTTATCTTGTTCTAACTATTAATAGTATAGAGTAGTTTCTACTCTATTAATATTCTAGGTTTTGTTTATACTACTAGTTATTAATTTTTACTACTATCTCTATAGTATTACTTAGGTTTTCTAGTTATTTAGCGTGCGCGATATTATTCTTAACTAACTTCTTTAACTCTTTGTAGAAGAGTCCTACTAGCGCGAAGTTATTCTAGTCTAGGTAAGCGCTTAGCTATCTAAATATTACTACGTACTAGAATACTAATCTAGTCTATTATAGTCTAAATAGCTTTTCTTAGACTACTTTATACGCGTTAACCTCTCTAAATATTTCTTTAAGGTGCTTTATAAACCTAGTCTAGCTTTTAAAGATTTTATTTATAGACTATTATATTCTCTTTATATTACTCTTATTTTCTAGCTAGTCTAATATATAGAGTTTAGTCTATATAAGAGCTTTCTCTTCTATGTTTATTATAGCTTCTAGAATCTTATCTTTATTCTATAGAAACGCTATAGCGTTATATTATAGGTAGAGCTTTATAGCTACTAGAAATACGTTAAGGTTTTCTCTTTTACTATTAAAGCGTCTAGGTAGAGTAATCTTAGCCTAGGCCTAGCGTTTTACTATAGCTAGCTCTTCTACCTATTAAACGCTTATTTTCTAGAGTACTATAATAACTTATTAGAGTTTTATAATCTACTCTTCTATAGTTAGCTTCTAGGCTTAGGCCTTTCTAGATAGAGTTCTAACTATTAATATAGTTATTCTACTCTTTAACGTTAGGTAGTTATTTTATTATAAGCTATTCTCTTAACTAAGACTAAGGCTTACTTTTATAAGAGAAGGTAAGAGGTGTACTTTAGGCTAGAATCTTTAGTAACAAAGAGGTAGAGGTAATAATACTATAAATTATAAGTCGTAGTAGTAATTTAATAAATAAAGTAATAACTATAAGAAGCTATAAGAAGCAAGCTCCTTCTAGTTATATATATGTACCTTCTTGGCTAGATTAGGCGCTAAGTCCCTGGCTCCTATAGATCTCTTAGATTAGGGCCTGATCTCTTGGATCAGATCCTGAGCCATCTAATCCGTCTAATCCATGTCACGTGACCCTGATCATTCCCGTGACCCTGCACGTGATCCCTTGTCCCGTGACCCCGGGCTTGGCCTGCCGTTTCCTCCGTCCTGGCCGGTTAGCCCTGTTCTCGATCCTGTGATCGTAACATACAGCTATTGCTTGCGACTTAACGACACCGTTATAGTAGTTCGAAGAGACGAACGGCGAATAAAGAAAGGTATAAGCGGGCGCGCTTATATATAAAGGCGGCTATCTTAGAATCTAGTAGACACTGGGCAGGAAGGGCTACAGCGCTGCGCGGACTGGTTGCTGGTGGTAAGAGGTGGAAATGCACTGTTGGGGGAGCGGAAGGTTGGCAGGGGCTCGTGCGCAAGCTGCCCTATAATTAGGTTATGGTTCTGACGGTGGGAAAACGGTAAGAAAGGGCGTCACAAACGTTATAAAACAGAAGCTTACACACAAGCACGTTGCTTGATGCCGTTGCCGCCGCTGCTCTGCATTTTCTCTCCGCGGCGTTCACTGCCCCGTACCGGGCCGCACACTCTCCATGCATACCTGCAAAGGTTAGGTAGAGGCGCCATCTCCACGGATCTCCACGGAGACAAGGCGTTGCCGCCGCTGCTCTGCATTTTCTCCGCGGCACCTCCGCCAAGGTGGCTGAAAGGGACTAGTGGCTGATCGCGTTATCGATAGCGGAACAAAAAAAAAAGAACTGCACTGCGTCAAATCACACTCTCCCCTCTCCCTGGCTGCTGATGGGTATTCAAAGTCTCGTTCTCGTCGTGTACTCCACAAATCGCGCCATCTACTCTTCATCTCCCCCACCTACTGCTTCCTGCCGCAACTACTGGCGGTTATCATGTCACCAGCGCTTCTCGCTGCCGTCGACTCGACCTCTCACGTCCACTTGATCATCGGATCGAACCCTTTGGCCGGCGCACGGTGTGCGCGCTCGCTCGAGGTGGGCGCGAAGCCGATCCTGATCGCCCCAGAAGACGCAACACTGCACTACGGCCTCGTGCAGCGAATCGATGACGGCGAGGTACAATGGCTGCAACGCAGTTTCAAAGAGGACGACCTTACTACCCTTGGGCGCCCGGAAGTAGACGGTGCTGTTGATGCCGTGTTTGTGACGGCGGGAGGGAAACAGAGTCTAAGTAATAAATGCCGCTGGCCCATCTCCCGCTTCCATTGTAACGATAGAGCAGGTACCCGGATCTCGAGCTTGTGCCGTCGGCTCAGAATCCCCATCAACGTTGCTGATGCGCCCCATCTCTGCTCTTTCACCCTCCTGTCCACGCACTCCGACGGTCCCTTGCAAGTCGGCGTAACCACGTCCGGAAAAGGCTGCAAACTTGCAGCAAGAATACGCCGAGAGATAGCAGCATCCCTCCCCCCGCATCTAGGAGATGCGGTCGAGCGGTTAGGCGCCATGCGAAGACGGATATGGGAAGAGGATCATGCCGCCGAGCTATCCCAAGATCTGGAAGCCGAGGAAGAGGACATTGGCCAGCCCGCCACGTTTAATAAACTCGTAGCCGCAGAAAGCATGGAGGCGGCAAGGGGTCGACGTGTGCGATGGCTTTCGCAGATCTGCGAGTACTGGCCGCTGCGCCGTCTCGCAGCCATTTCCGATGCCGATGTGGACATCTTGTTACGGGACTACTCCAGCTTCAATGCTTCGAAAGCCAACCATACCGCAGTGGGAGGAAGGAACCGGGCCGGGCGAATCCTTCTAGTAGGCTCCGGTCCAGGCAATCCCGGGCTGCTGACCCGTGCAGCGCACAAAGCTATACTATCCGCCGACCTTATACTTGCCGACAAGCTTGTGCCGAGTGCAATACTGGATTTGGTTCCTCGGCGCGCAACAGTTCACATTGCCAGGAAGTTCCCCGGCAACGCCGACAAAGCTCAAGAAGAATTGCTGGATATGGGTCTAAACGGCCTCAAGGCGGGGAAGGTGGTGGTCCGCATAAAACAGGGCGACCCGTACATCTATGGGCGTGGCGGGGAGGAGTACGACTTCTTCCGGTCGCACGGCTATACTCCGATCGTCCACCCTGGGATTACCAGCGCTCTGAGTGCGCCCCTCTTTGCTGCCATACCCGCAACTCATCGAAGCGTGGCCGACCAAGTACTCATTTGTACCGGCACTGGTCGGAAAGGAGCTGCTCCTGAGCCGCCGGAGTATGTGCCATCTCGCACCGTGATTTTCTTGATGGCTCTTCACCGACTGTCGTCCCTTGTCGAATCCCTACATTCAAAGGGATACCCGTCCAGCACTCCGTGCGCCGTTCTCGAGCGCGCAAGCTGCCCTGATCAAAGGGTCATTAGGACCACGTTGGAGAATGTATGTGCTGCCCTGGAAGAGGAAGGCAGTCGTCCGCCCGGGTTGCTGGTCCTAGGAGACGCGTGCACTGTTCTTAGCCGCTATAGCCGCTATAGCCAGAAGTGGGTTGTTGAAGAAGGCTTCAACGGCTTGGACAGTATCGGTATAGACGGTGAATTGGGTATAGCGAGAGATCTCATAGACTAGCTCTTGGTCATCTATAGCGCCGTTGAACCCGAATCAATGCTTAAAACCTCTTCTGTGTGGGGCCGGGCTGATATCAAACATGTGCAACTACTTGCGGCACCCACTTACCTCACTGCGGCTCGGTAGTGGGTCCCGGGCTCAACGCAAAAACCGAGCTCAACGCAAACCTAACAAAATTACCAGCCGGCTTTTTCCTAGACATCGTGGAAAACCTTGACGAAGCGTGTCTAGACTAATTTCACGTAGGGCCCTTAGTCAAGAGGCGTAGCTTCTAGGCGCACCTCACTTGGTGTTCTAAAAGGTATTAGTAGCAACGTCCGGTGTTTAGGATCGCAGGATGCATTTATGCAGACCACGGTTATAGAGAAAGATAGCCCTAATTATAGCGCTCTTCTAGCGGAGCTAGCGGTAGACAGTCTATACTTATTAGAGGGAGGCTTGTACTTGGATGGCACGGGGATTTAGAGATGACCAAAGGTGACGGCGGTGTAGCCGAGAGCGACGCAGAGCACCTCTTATGTCCGCCGCCAAACCGCGCGCTACCCTACCGCTTGGCCGCCGAGGCCGCGTTCCAACGCTCATGTTGCGCCATCCCCACTACCCGGGCTGCAACACGCTCGTCAAGCTGCCTGCCCTAGACGACGGGGACACAGTCGACTACGATGTAGCCCTCACCATCTGCGACTTCATCTCCGACAACAGCTAGAGCACCGGCTAGTTCGCTCGCTCACTCAGCCGACGGCCGTGTAAAGAAGCCAGAGACGAGGAGGCATGCCTAGCACGATGGTCACATTTCCATCCTCAAAGCGATGGGACTGATGTTGAGAACTCACTAGGTAAATAGATATGACCCGTATGATCTGGGCTGTACGACCCAAGCACTTCATATCCTGAGCTGCTGTCGATTCTCATTATTAACATCTTTATAGCTCCAATACTCTGTACGTGCTACATCTTAGTTTAGCTGTTCTTACAAAGAAGAATGTTAGTAGCCAGCATGCAAGGAGCAGGGTGTGTTGCTCGTAGAATCTGTTGTATGCATAAGACAATGCTTGAATCAAACTACTTCCTGATACATCTTAGTAACTTCGTTGCAGGAGCAGCGTTCTCAGCAGCGCACTCCCGATAGCCCGCAACCCTAGCAGTACTCACGTTTTCTTAGCCTCGGATCCTTCTGGCCCCGCTTCCAAAACCTAGTTTCATAACTAGGCAAGTATTTGTGGCCCTGTCGCATCTTCTTTGCGTCATCGCTTACCATCTCCGTCCAAGCGTCGAGCCGTTTCATAGGATTGGCACACCACCCAGGGACTTGATCCTCTGACGCTTGTCCGCCGATTAAAAGATTCGCCTTCCACCGGGCCCAATCGGCATCGATGGTACCTTCGAGATCTAAATTTTCCATACCCCAGTCGAGTGTAAGATTCATGCCGTCGATGAGATCTTCAAGGTCCACGAAGTTCCTGGTATCGAGGAGGCTTTGGGCGAAGATGGGCAGCTTGGGGTATGGCAAGCCAGTCGGGCTGTACTCGATGTTTTCGGGCCGGCAAGGTATATGGCATGCTTGAGCAGACATGAGGATGAAGAATAATCGCAGACCGTCGAACTTGAAACGGGGGAACAAATGCTCCATCCCCTGAGGCCTAGAGAGTGCAGAGGGTCGGAAGGGTTCGAAAGTATCGAGCTTGGCGCGAAAAAGCGCTGCTGCTGCTTCTAGTTGGTCGGTTGGGACGCACATAATCCATTCCTATGCGTACGAACGTTAGGCACCCGATGCACCCCAAGAAAATACGGTTGTACTTGCGACCATGACCCGTCCAGTGCCGTAGTATATCAATGCGGGTTCGGCAACCATGCAGCACGGGATGCCGGCGCCTTCAAGGATCTGCACGACGCCGAGAATCTCGCTAACGCCGTTGTGTTGAGGTGTGCGGTCGTTTGGATAGCCTTGGACTGATACATCGCCTAGTGGAGATATGAAGACGTCTGGTCCTGCATCTGGATTCAAGCGTTGTTGTTCTCGAAAGGCGACCATGTCTTCGTCCGTGACAATGTGAACAGGTTTTGGGAGGGCATCGTCGAGGCTTTCGTTTAAGTCAATATGTGGGGATTCCATGATACTGACAGGTTTCTGCAATATGTTTGTTGTAGTTTATCGCTTGAGGCCTGCGGCACAGGTATTTGAGGTTGCAATCAACTGTGCACGGACCCCACGGCTTCGCCCCCTCGGGCCGACCCTTCACATTGCTTACGATACGGTGCGCTAGAGCAACCACTACGCGGAACGGGCTTAGTTTCGATTCTCATCCATCCTTCACGTGTGCTCATGCAACCAGGTCACGGGCACTACGAGATCCTCCCAGTGCCATCCTGGTGCACATGGCCAGTGGTGACCCTCCTGCCATTCTCGTCTCTGAAACGAATGGAGATGACCAGCTCGCTATCGTTTGGATCGTCATGGGACTTGTGCCACTTGCTTCCCTTGACCTCTGCCTTCGTGATGATTGGATTCTAGATCACGTAAGCAAGTTTGTGGCTAGACGAGCCCTGCGTATCGACATACTTCTTTCTCGACTTTTTCGCAGTATCCTTTGACTACTGGGAGAGTCTTAGAGTCGAGATGCTCAAGGGTGACACTGCCGACGAATTTGATGAGTCTGCGGGACGTGGCTTGCATGTGGGAAGTTGCGATGACGAACTAGTAAAGTTTGGAGTGATAGTGAAGGATGTTGTGATGTGCTTGGTAATGAATGCTGATCGATGAGAATGTGATGAGGCATGATTGATGGATGGCAGCCTCTGCTCTTATACCCTCAGTTCTTGGACTTCGCAACACTGAGCTCTTGATGTTGTGCCGCATCAGTTTGACGCTTCGCTCCAAGCGGAATCCAATGGTTACTAAAATAGCAAGAGCGAGTCACATAGATCGAGTATCCCGAATGTGGCTGTGAAGAAGTGACGCCGAGTCTGAATAAGACATTGCGGGGTGAGAAGGTCAGACCCTTGTGAGCTCGTTTAACGTTGCGTACATATTGGAGAAGTTCAAGAATAGTCGGCGCGTAACGAGATCTCGCATGATGCGCCCTGTGAACTGGACCAAATCATTGGATGATGGGTAACGACATGCGTAATGTAGCGCGCGGGTAAATTTGCTAGCGTCGTTGTTGCCGCCGGCCAATTGATCGACCGAGCACGGACGCGTCAATGACCGCGCTAGGCATCAGCGCGGCTGACATGCCTTTGGACCGTCACACTAACTTCCCGCAATGATATAGTGTCTCTACAACATGTTGAAATTTGGTCAACGAGCATGTACTCGCTTCAAATTTCCCTCTAACATATCCCGAATTTCGCGCTTCCAGAGTACGAAGATGAATGCCAGCGAGCTCTTCGAGGAGGAGCGCCTTCCGTGGTATAGCCATGATCAGTTTTATCCAGTACGAACTGGTGAGGTTCTCGATTCTAGCTTTAAGGTCATTGGAAAACTCGGTTACGGTGCATACTCCACGGTCTGGCTGTGTCGGGATATCCGGTATGTTTGGCGTTCTTCACCCCCACCCTTCAAAGTCTGATCATTCATGCACAGAGAACGAGACGCTGGCTTCGTCGCTGGCTACGTCGCTGTCAAAATTTGTACCCGAGATGCCGAAAAGTCTACACAACTCAATCGAGAGCTGGATTTTTACGAACACGTCAGTTCTATGGAATCACAGCATCGCGGCCAAGCATACATCCGCGGACTGTATGGCGAATTCGAGCTCGACGGTCCGACTGGCAAACATTTGTGCTTGGTTCATCCACCCATGCACATGACTATTCGACAGCTCCAGTATCAGAACTCAGCACACAAGCTCAATGTTCCGCTTCTAAAGTGGACGCTAGCCAATGTGCTAAAGGCGCTGTCGTTCTTACACGACGAAGCTAAGGTCGTACACACAGGTACGGCAAGATGATGTAACATGATTGAATTAACTGACAAGTCAGACATCAATCCTGCCAATATCATGCTGACTGTGGCTGATGAGACTATTCTGGAAGACTTCGAGAAAGATGAAGCAGAGAACCCATCCCCATCCAAAGTGATCGACGACACACGCACCATTTACTGTTCCCGCAAGCTTCGCCTTCCCACGGGTGGTCTTTGGGGCCAACCAGCTCTCTGTGACTTTGGAGAAGCGCGGATAGGAGATTCCCACTCCGGCTTAATTCAGCCTGAGCTATACCGTGCACCAGAGATACTTTTCGAGATGGAGTGGGGCTCTAAGGTGGACATTTGGAGTGTCGCCACGTTGGTAAGTATTCAATCCTATTGCAAGGAAGCCTCAGTGACTTACTCTTGATTAGGTGTGGGACTTGTTTGAAAATCAGCATCTATTCGACGCCCGTGACAACGAGGGCAAATCATCAGGGACACACCATGTTTCCGAAATGGTTGCATACCTTGGAATGCCTCCGCTTCAATACATGCAAAGCAACGATATAACAAAGAAGGTCTTCGACGAGCAAGGTCAGTCACTGAGATCGTCCCGACATAGACTCTGCTAAGTTCAATAGGACACTGGACGGGTGGTTCCAAGAGTGTATCTATTCCTAAGATCTCACTCGAGGAAAGAATCTCGGCGCTTGAAGGGGAGGAAAAGGAATTGTTTCTCGATTTCATACGCTCGATGCTCAGATGGCGGCCGGAAGACAGGAAGTCGGCGACTGAACTTCTGAAGCACCCATGGATGGCCGACGCTATGTAGTTACGACGGCGATCAAGCAACCATTGCACTGCGAAGTCATTCTCGAGGAGTTTTTGTATTAAGTATATGTTGCTCGTCGCTGCTGCCCCCTGACGATGCTGCTTTGCGGCTGGATCGGTCTCGTTCGTCGTCTTCGTAGCGCCGTTCGCGAGGCCTCTCGCTCTCGAGGCGCGACACGAGGTGGCTCAGGCATGCGAACCTCGGCACGGTGCGAAGAGCCCATCTCGAACAGGCCAGCTTGCCGCAGTTGCCCGCCAGCCCGCCAGCATGCCATCGACGCGCTCCACGATCGGATCCACGGGCTTGCGCGCCAGGCATCGCTTGACCACGTGGGCACCGGCGTGGACCAGCTGGCCGGACACATGCAGGCGTTCCGCCACGACGTCGCCGCCAGTACCACTGCCCTCGACGACTTCAGAGACGAAACTCGACAGAATGCGACTGCCAGAGAACAAGCAGACACCCGCACGCAGCTATGTCCGGAAGAGGGAGTTGCTTGTGTTCGAGTTACTGACAGCCTGGACAGGAAATGCTCCGCATCATCCGACAGAACCTCCTCGACCACACGGCCCCCGATCAGATTGCCGGGGCTGTCGAGCCATGGCGCCCCTCGCCGAAGCCGCCATCCAAATCGCGCACTCCCTCCACCACCTCCGCCCGACGGAGGCGCGCCGCATCCGCGACCCGACCACGAACCGCCGCGTCGACATGGTCGTGCAGGCGCACCCGGAGCCCGAGGGATATGCAAGGGAGGCGGATATCAGCACGTTGGCTGAGGAGATGGAGTTTGCGGGGTGGGATGTGGACGGGTGTCCAACTTGCCTTTGAGGCAAGTTCCGTCAGAGTGGGTTCACCGGAACGCTAGGTGCTGTTTGCGGTCTTGCAGCCTGAAGCCTGGGCGGGAGAATAGCGTATCTATGCTCCTTGCTGACTAGCGTATGAGAATCTGGCTGAACGAGCGAGTGGCCCGGCCGGGTAAGAGAACCGGGCAATCCTACTCGGTGAGTCTATTTTAGCTAGGCCAGCCTTGGCGCAAAAGAGAGGGGCCACATGTGCTTGGGTGCGCCATCCATACCACCTGAAGAAGTCCAGATGCCGGGAATGCGACAAGCAATCGCATGTTCGGGATCGGCCCGAAGCCGCAGCCTGTTTTCGCGCAGAAAAGCACGCATTGTCCCCTGTCCATCACAGTATATAACAGAGGGCACCCATATCGTCACAACGCCTCCTGACTGCCATCACCTTCTCTTTTGACTCACCGCGTTCGCTCTTGTGGAGCTTTTGCTTGTAAAGTACGTTAGCGTTATTAATTAATTTATAGATTTCTAGATTTTAGGTAGGTTTTCCCGCGCGCGCGCGAATTTTCAGGTGTCGCTAAGATTTCCACCGATTATTGCACGCGATAGATGCTGGTTGGTTGCTGCTTGCCTTCTTTTCCCCCACCGCGACCTTACCGCGACCTCACCTCAGCCTACTTTGGCACGCTTCGCCTTGGAAGGGCGAGTTCCGTCGTCTTCAAAAAGCTCAAAGCTCCCGCCTCTCCGCGACCGTTCTTCTCCATCTCCACAACACGTTGGCTGCTACGTCGCGCCTTGTCCTCCATGACCGAGTCTCAAAACGACCTCTACGACTACACTTCAGGGCGTTGGGTGTAAGCTTCATAAGCGTTGTTCTGGCGCATAGATATCTGATTCGTCATCTCTATCGTTTAGCTACAACGACGCTCTTCGCCACAAGGAGCGGAAGGTCGTTTTCGATGTCGACGGGTTGTGTCGACTTGCAGCCGAGTCTGTGAATCAAAGTCCTAAGGATGTCGTCAGCATATCTAAGCTCGCTGAGGGCGGTTTCAACCGCACCTTCGTCGTCGCTCTGCGCGACGGTCGGCAGGTGGTCGCCCGGGTTCCCTACCCCATGACGGTCCCTAACTACTACGCCGTCGCCAGCGAGGTGGCTACTATCAAGTACCAGCGGTCCTGCGGGATCCCTGTCCCTGAGATATACGGGTACTCGGCCGACTCGGACAATGACGCTGGAACCCCGTATATTCTTATGGAATTCGTTCGCGGCCCAAAGCTCAGCGAGGTCTGGCCCAGCCTCGGGGACGAGGAAGTCATCTCTGTCCTCCGCCAGCTCACTCAGCTCGATCACGCATGATGTCTCAGCCATTTCCCGCTGGCGGAAGCCTGTACCCCACCAAAGACCTCGAGAAGGTCGCCTCAGGGCTGGGCGTGCCTCTGGAGGACAAGCGTTTCTGCGTCGGCCCGGACACGAAGCTAGCGTTGTGGTATGGGAGAAGGGCAGGGCTCGATGTAAATCGAGGACCGTGTATGCCGCTCTCCGCCTCTTTATTATTACGCCCTCAAACTAACTGGCATCTGTAGATCATAGCGCCGAAGCAGCTCTCGCGGCAGCGGCGCAGAAGGAGATCGCCTATCTGAAGCACTTCGGAAAACCGCTCCTACCGCTGCGGCGCGAAAGGAGGCCCAGTTATAAGTACCAGCTGCAGTCGCCGTTGGACCATGTCGAGAACTTGGAGCGGTACCTCGGCATCACGTCGTCGCTCGTTCCTAGGGACCCCGCTTTAAGTCGTTTCTACATCCGCCATCCAGACCTCCAGCCGAACAACATATTCGTGTCTTGGTCGCCCGGCTCCGACTGCAAAATCGTCAGCCTGTTTGACTGGCAACACACGTCTATCCTACCCATGTTTCTCCTCGCCGGTATTCCCCAACGCCTCCAGAACCACGCAGACGGCGCGTCGCAGTCCATGACGCCGCCCTCTCGACCGGAGAACCTCGACGAGATGGGCGAAGCTCAGCGAGACGGCGAGGAGTACCGCTACCGTTGTCGCCTCGTTCACTACCACTACGTCACCAGCACGATGGAGTGCAACCCGCTCCACTACGCCGCCTTTACGGACCGTCTGTACGCGCTCCGTGGTCGACTCTTCCTGCACGCTGGTGGCCCGTGGGAGGGCGAGACCTCCGACCTGAAGGCTGCGCTTATTCAAGCCGCGAACAGGTGGGAGGAGCTTACGGGCGGAGGCGTGCCGTGTCCCCTCGAGTTCGACGCCAAGGACCTAGACGAGACGGCGGTGCTGGATAAAGAACTGAGCGAAGCGACCTGGGGCTTCGAGTTCTTACAGTCCCAGGGCGGCGTCGGGGAGGAGGGCTGGGTACCGGCTGAGGACTACGAGGGTGCCGTGGCTTTCTTCAAGGAGTGGAAGGAGAAGGCGTTGGCGAAGGCCGAGTCGGCGAAGGAACGGGAGGAGATTAAGGCTCACTGGCCGTGGGACGACATGGACGAGGAGATGTATATGTAACGATCCGTGCTGGATATTTCGCCCTGCTGTATGGACGTGCAGCATTTCGCTCGCGAACTCGAAGCTAGCGTTTATAATCGGCGCCCCTCCTTCCACTGCTTCGAACAACGCGGCAACTTGAAATCCTCACCTAATTCCTCGAAGCCAAACGAAATCTTAACATGCCTCCAATTACACCCACGAAGAAAACGCAATGCAACCATTGCCTCCAAGAAGTCTCTAGGACTGCCCCGGAGTGCCCTACTTGCGGGGGGCCACCAGCAGGTCTTTGCAGACATTCTGATTGCAATCAACATCCGCCTGTTAAACATGAATATGTCAAATAGTCCAGGTACGATGTCCAAACCCCTTATGACAATCGCTTCACTGACAGTTAATAGAATCACAGCGGATGGGATGGAGCTGATATTCGCGAATCTGGCTGGTGTGGTGTGGGAGCTTGTTATGGAAGCTATGATGCTTGGTTTTTGTTGGTTGTCCCTAGACCATAGTCTAAATCCTAAGCTTTTCAATATGACGTTACGATTTTATGACGTTGTGACCGAAGAATTTCCCGTGCAACTGTGCCACTTAGTGTGGCTGTGCAGCTTGATTGCCAAGATGCCAAGTCTATCCATTATTTAATCCTTTTTCGCGAAAGCACCGGTCTTCACAATCTTCTCAGCCTGACATATGATGGAGGAGACCTACCAATGGAGAAGCCACGAACGGCAGTATACTCTGACGAAGTCAACATTCATCAAGAGTGAACTCCCTGAGGATGCACTGCCTACTTCCCAAGTTACTGGGCGAAAAGTTTATCCCCAATGGTCTCGTGAGCGTCTCGAAAACGAAGCAGCTACCCTCAAGTTCATCGCCTCTACAACATCTATACCGGTACCCAGATTTCTCGAACTGTATGAAGAAAATGGCTTGCTTCACCTCGTCACTGAGCGTGCCGTAGGCAGTACCCTAGAGGACTTGGCATCCAATGCCGCTACCAAACACGTCGCCACCAAACACGTCGCCGAATGCCTGGAGACGTTTATCCTACCCCAACTTCACAAGCTACGACATCACACCACTGGCAGTATTGATGCCAACCTACCACTCATCCCACCAAGCCGAATAACGTATCGAGACAAACGGTCGAGTTGGTCACGGAAAACCTCACGCCTAAACGACTTTGTGTTCTGCCATAATGACCTTGGTCAACATAACATCTTCGTGGATCCGGATACTTTCAATATCACCGCAATTATAGACTGGGAATTTGCTGGATACTATACGACGGAGTTTGAATATCCTCTCTGGTTAAGCCCCTACAACGAGCAAGGAACAGATCATTTGCAAACCGACCACCTTATCAAGTTTCTTGACGATACTAGTGAGTGTCCGAAAGCTGCTGATACCGAACAAAACCCAGCGTCTGCTGGTTACTCTCGTTTCCACCCTGCAGAAGACCATGCGGTGTGGGCAGCAAGCTAAAGAGGAATTGCGGCCGTGGACCTTGCAAAGGTTTGACATTCCAAAAGTCGCTTGAGTGCGGCTTACTGCGGGCTATTTCTACAGCGAATAGTGTCCTTGAATTGATTCAGAAGCCGGCCGATGGCAGGATGTAGGAGAGGAGTGGAAAGTGGGCATATGAGCTTGATTTTCATTAGATTTGCTGTATATTGAATCCGTTATTCCTATCAACCCCCAATACAGGATGTTCTTGAACGTCAGACGCGGTACTGGGCGTGCAAGATGAAGGATTGTGACATTAACTGCAAGTAGAGCCCTCTCAATACCAAACGCTGCTTCAAGCGTGCGAGTCGATGTTCGACGATCCTTAACATTAATACTTAGTATATCATCTAACCACGTGACCGTGGATTGGTAATTTGTCACTTGAACGCCTGAATCTTGCTGGCACGGAAAACGACCGACCGGCTCCTGGCTATAGTGTAAGTAAGTAGTCGTACGTCGCATCGTTGGTATCTGTCCAAAGAACGTATTGAGAATGTCCAGATAGTCAATCCAGAGGTTATCCTCTACTTTATCCTTGAGTATGGGATCCGCATTCCTCCTGGGGTCGGGTGTGTCCGCGAAACTGCCCGTGTTGAGCGTCCAAGATGTCTGCTGAAAGGAGGCTGTACGCGGGGGGCCCGATGGTGGAGGTGTCGATGTGTTGAACTAACATGCTCTCCCGGCGATGTTGCCGACACACGCCTAGATCTACTTAAATACCTCCTAACTCCCGATGTACCTTCGTGTGGCCGCCGCCATCTCGTTAACCTTCTTCGACTCTTCCAGTCCAATGTCCTCCAGCCTACGATTCACGTTGAACTGGTAGTACCGTCCAGTGTCGGCAAGCAGCGACCTCTCGCGCCGGAACCTCTCCGCCGTCTGCTCTGTCTCTGTGGCGATCGCTACCAACGTCTCGCCGATGTGCAAGACGTCGTCCTTGAACGGCTTGAGCGAAGGCGCGCCCGTCCCGACCGAAATCAGGCACTTTACCCTGCCCTCTAGCGGCTCTGGTCCCCAAGCCAGCTGCGCCTGGTCCCACACCTCCAGTATCGGGTCGTTCGCTCCCATCGCCCCGTCCACGAACTCTTCTCCGAATCTTCCCACTACAATTGGATCGAAAAAGAACGACGCCGCCGAGGTGGCCCGGCACGCCTCCCAGATCTTCGCGCTGTTGAGGAGGTCGCTGCAGCAAGAGGAGAGTTCAACGTATCGCGATTGAGGGCGGACAGGGACATCAGAGGCTGGAGGTATGCATGGCTAACTATTGGCGAGACGTGAGGGACAGGTGGACTGTAGATAGCAAGCAACAATTTCAATGTCTAGACTCTTCACAAGCCGCGTCTGAACATCCCTGACACACTGCGCATGGCCCTCAATTGCCGCCTCACACAGTCCGACTGATGCAATTGCGGCGCATGTTTATTCTTGGCGTGCCTGGGCTGCAGCTCGCAGGCGTGCTGTGCGGCGCAGGGCCAGGTCTGACACTGCTGGTGATCCCTACCGTTCCAGCAATTCCGCATTCGGTCCCAGTGCTCGTGGTGGCCGGAATTCCCGCACGTAATCTTGTCGAGTCGAGTAGAATAGGCTGGAAAGACGTACTGTGGAGCTTGGGCCTAGGGTCTGTGCTCCAGGCGCCACCAGGTGGCCTATGCTCCAGGTTGTGGACATATAAAGATGCACGAAAGCCCCTCTCATTTCTGCTCACGGCGCTCCCAGGCTGTATATGACAGGAAACTCAGTCTCTGACTCGACATCTTTTTTGCTCATCCCTACACCCAAACTCTGTCCCAGCCATGGCATCGCAAGAGGTCTTTCTTTATCGGTCCGAGGCCAAATCATATTTCTGGACGGAGAGAACGTTCATCAAACGCGAACTTCCGGACGCGGCGGGGTTGCCATGGCTCAAGCAACGCTTCGCAGTCGAGGCTGCGACCCTAAGACTCCTCTCGGATCAGACGTCTATCCCGGTCCCGAGGCTGATTGCCTTTGGCGAGGACGAATACGGCCGTTGCTATCTGGAGACCGAGTGCATCAAAGGATCGGTCCGCGGCGACATGGCTGCAGATGAGTGCCGCATGCCTCAGCTTCACCATCCTTCGGAAGCGAAATCGCCCTGTGCCGCATGTGAAGGGATTGTCAGCGCAAATGCCGAGCGGTTCGTCCAAGAAGTGGTGTTACCCCAGCTGAGCCGTCTGAAGAGTAGAAGGACGGGCCTCGAGGGCATCGTGATTCCGCCTCGCTGGGTTTCCCACCACGATAAGAGGGAGGCCTGGCGGGTGTTAGAATCTCCTCAAGCCGACTTCGTCTTTTGCCATAATGACCTTGTTCTACACAACATGTTGTTTTGTACCCAGACACTGAAAGTGCTGGCCTTGGTGGATATGGAAGACTGTGGGTATTTCCCTCCAGAAGTACAGCAGTGGAAGCGTGACCGGACTGGTCAGTTCGGGCTGTACGAGGACATGGACTTGGTACGGAGGCATATCCAGCTCATCGGCGGATAAGGAGGCACGGTGCATGTACAGTAACAACACAGCTGAGCCTAGCAAAAGTCACCTTGGCTAGAGGAACCGTGATAGGAGTGCTTCCGTCGGCCATGGTGCTTCGCTCTGCGGCACGAGGTAAGCACAGTTTCGTGGCTCAGGACGCCTTTCAGTGTACCTACCTTGCAATAGAACTAGTGTGGGAGTGCAGTGAGGCCTCCTTGGGAGTCAAGTGTTGGTAGGACTTGGGCTTTGAGGTGGTTCGGAGTCTTGTGATGGTTTGGTGATCACAATGTCTTCCGTCGATGGCAAGGCGTACCGCACACCTGTGTTATATAGGAAAACCAGCCCTGGTTTCGTAAGGTCTGATTCGTGCCAGTGAGCAGCTGCTGTAGCGAATCAGACGCACCTTCTCGCTCTTCACCTCTCCTGCCCACCATCTCACGGTCCCCCAACTCTGGGACCCACATCTCTTCACCTCTACTGCCCATCTCCGTGATCACAATCCGTCAACTGTCCCTCTTTTCTCATCTTTCCCTCGCTCCTCGGGCGCAATCTGCCTTGTCGCCTCCACGGCCAACATCCGACCGAGACATGTTGCTAATCCAGACAGACGAGGACCTCGTGGCATTGCTAAACAGAGAAATCGGCAGATTCGCCGCTGATGGCCCCTACTAACTGAGTGCTGCGCAGAAGAACCGGCTCAGCAGAGCCATGGAGCTTGTCAAGCAAGACCCGGCAACCATCAAGAGAAACGCCCCACGAAAAAGGGCACAAGCACTCCTTCTCGACCTTTGGAAGCATTACCCCCATGCGTTCTTTCTCTGCTCGATCGGCGCGTCGCTCGACGCGATTGGCAAGCTCAAGTCTACCGGTGGTGGTGTTCTGCGCCCAAGCAGCCAGGTCTCGAGCAGGCGATGATTGCTTACGCAGACCAGCTACAAATGACACCCCAACCCGCCCCCCAGTTCACCGGGGAGATTTCCATGCGGACACTCCTCCACCTACTGCTCGAGCAGTGTCCCGAGCGGCAGATCCGCATCCTGTTTCCCTTTGAAGAAATGAAGGCCCGAACGGTGTTCGAATGCGCGGCTGGGACGATCGGGATTGAGTTTTCGACGGAATTTTCTCACAGGATCGCGAGACACCTGACGTTCACTGGGGGCATACAGGGGGCAGCTGTGACGGAGGACGGCGAGGGGCTGACCGGGTCACCAGGCGATACGACGGTGCGCCTAGAATCGCACACGACTGATTGGACTGTAGCAGTATAAGACAGTATTCCTCCTTGTTCGTGGGGTGCGTGACAACGTTCTCATTACTATTCACGTCCTTGCTTTGTTGAAGATCGCCGATGACACGCACAGCGCCACGTCCGCTACGGGCTATTACAACCACGGCGCAGACCTCCCGGTCCTGTTGAAGGTCCAACTCGGGGAAATAGTAAGTGTTAGGCCCGGACTGCTCCTCATAAAGTGTCGAATCATGGCCACACTGTAACCACTAGTCAGAACACGACCCCCCACGCCACGGATTTTCTGGCAAGAGCAAAGACGACAGATACCTGATCCTGGATCTCCCGCCTCAGTCTCTCCTCATCCCTTGCCACGTCATTAGGAATACGGATCTTCATCCTAAAGGGGGCAGCAGACAAGGATAGGAGGATGCATCAGGGTTCGCCGGGGTCGCGGCTGATGGTTGCAAGGGCGCCGTAGCCAGTCAAAGACCGACACGGATGCACAGGCCCCTGTACAAGCAATATCAATGCGCAGGCAGAGCCAACATGAGCGAGAAGTTGAGCGAGAACGTGGGACGTAGGACGAGTCACGGATGATATGCCACTGCCGCCTTCCCCACCTTGCCGAGCGGTAACAATGCGACCGTATGGCTTGTGATGAGCATGAGGACAGGAAGGAGAAGCGGCAGAAGTTGCAGGGATGATTGGATAGCGAAGATCCGTAGCATGTCCCGACAAAACTTGAAGTCCTAGATCGAGGCAATTCAGCAAGCAACACATCTACGAAACACACAACCATCGAGAATCGTCCGGATTACCCTTACATTGGTCAACCGCTCCATCTAAAGGGGGTAGTGCTCCCCTGTGATCTGGTATGTAAGTCTGCTGACATCCTGGTCTGCAGTTCGTCTTTTGGACGCGGATGTCTCCCTGTCCTCTGTGCGGCGGCTCTGGAAAGCAAGGTGATTTGGATTGTGGTCTCTGTCACGGAAAGGGTGAACGCGACACCAAGGACGATTCTTCCAACTCAAAATGACGGCAAAGCCTGCTGTTCCGTGCATCGTTAGCCTGCCGGATATTGGCATCTCTCTGCGTATGGAAGTCGGATGCTGTTGACGGAGCCGAATCGCTAGAAATTGCCCGAACAATTTTAACTTTCCTATAACATGCCCACGTATATGCGATGCGCTGTTGATGCAGTTTGCCTGCTGTGACGTAGGGTTATTCGATTTCGCGTGAGAGGCTGTGCAGCTCCAGGTTTCACCCTGCGCGATAGCTCACCCCACTTGCTAAAATGCTCCACGTGCTCCGACGCTCACCTTGAGCGACCAAGCCTTCGATCATGCTCCCTCTGCGGATGATTGCCTGGCATTTACCCGCCCGCTCATTCCAGTTGATCTGTATTGAGAAGTATCTCCGCAGGCAACAGCGCCGAGATAGGAGATGGACGTGTATAAAGCTTGTGCAATGCCGTATGAAGTAGACACTAAAGTTAAAGCAAATTCCAACTCTCTACGAGCAACAATCTATCCTCCACAGATCCCGTTCCGAAATATTCACTCATGTTGCCGGATATGGTTACTACTTCACGTGACCTGGTCAGATATATATATAGCCATATTTCTCGTATTCTCAATCAATCAACTCATGTCTCAATACTCTGCAATTCATCCAATAACTCACTACGGGCAAGTCCCCAACTCTCGATTGGCGCGGCCAAACCACAAGCTAATATTCTGTCCGCACAGCTACGATGGCTCAGAAATTACGCCACTCGTTTCGTCTTGAATCGGAATGTATTCAATTTGCTTCTCAAACGGATGCCATCATGCGCGCTATATGTTTATGGTGTCCACACATGGCCGCGTACACTCGAATCCAGTTAGTCGTGGGAACAAGCTTCGCTCTCGTACGAATTGGGTTGCAGTAGCCAAGTCGTGAAAGGAGATAACATGTTTTACCCGTTGGTGCAGCCTAATGCCCCTTCGGGTAATGATGGACCGTGCCCTCGCCCGAGGATCCGTGGCCGTTCAAGCTGAAACGAGTCTTTCGCCACGACACTCAACCGTTTGCAATAAACTCCTCGAGCCTCTAGGGCCTCGCGCTGCCCTCCACACCCATTACCTCCACCGTCCATTCCCGCCGCCCAGAGGACCCTTAGGTGACCTATTACGGAACTATGGCAACACAGTCGTGGACGACTATTCACTCAGGCTACGAACTTTCCCCCTATACGTTTAAGAAACGCTCCCGTACCGCTACTGAATACTACGCCCAACCCTGTGGGGATGTGTGGTTCAATACACGGCGTTGGAAAACGGAGCGCGTTATCAACGAGGCTAAAGCGCTGAAGCTGCTTGCTGAGCGCACAAGAATTCCGATTCCCCAGTTTATCCGGTGTGGCCAGAACGATGACGGGTCCATGTTCCTGGAAATGAGTCGAGTCGACGGCATCGATCTGAGCGAAGCCGGCAAGGAATGCCGAAAACCGGGCGGCGTGAGGCATAACAGCGGCGGCGGCGAATGCAACAAATGCATGGATATTGCGAAGGCTAATGCCGAGCACTTCATCCAGACTGTTCTTCTCCCCGAGCTCGCAAAGCTACGTTCCAACAAAACAGGACTGGACGGGTTCGTGCTGCCGCCGGCGTGGATGCTGGAATACGATACACGACCGCACTGGGACACAAAGACATCTTCGTACAACGAGTTCGTATTCACTCATGGCGATTTGGGTCCCGACAACCTAAGGATGGACCCGAATACGTTAATGGTGAAGTGTGTGATCGATTGGGAGCATGCGGGATATTTCCCCCCGGGATTCCAGAAATGGGCGGTCGATGATGGCACCTATCATGCTCTATATGAGGATCATCAAACAATTTTTGAGCTTGCCAGAAGTATCGAGCCCTGATTATACTCCCCATACACACATTTCACCAGATAGAGATAAAGATTAAAGAGTTCGATCTTAGGCCAAACTATCTACGCGTAGCCTCCGCTAAATATATGACTGATCGTAGGTCTGTCATGGTGGCACGCCAGGGTGCTGAAAATCACCCCCGATCTTCTACACTAAGCTAATCTGGGCAGCGCTGCCCCCCGCGCAAAAGCAGCTCGCTCGGGTGAACGACGCATGATTTGGCGGCGACTAAACTCCGTATCTTCACAGTTCTTTGCGGCGGGCTGCTGCCTATTACGACACGATGCGACGAAGTTGTATACACATCTGCACACACCTGCACGTATGCACACCTGTCGCCTTATAATCTAGTGTTGGCCGTGTAAGGTCCAGGTGCAGAAACGCTTCCGAAACTCAAGCCATTTCTACGGGGACGAATTCGATGTGACAAAACAGCGTCCGCTGATGTGCTGGCGCAAGAGCCGTATAACTCCGGGTCGCTCTTTGCTCTCGGCCGCAAATAGGGCTGTGCGGCCCTTGTTGGAAACCAAGGTAGTATCGGCTCCTCTTGAAAGCAGATATGCCACCACGTCATCTCTGCCCTGCTCAGCTGCTGTAAATAGAGCTGTCCCGGCTTCTCCAACGCCCCACTCAAGCCAGGAACGCGGATCGTTCCGAAAACACACGCTATCGATTGGGCAGCCCAAGTTCAGCAGTAGCTCAACAATCTCAAGGGTATCGTTACCGCCCCTTTGCAGAGCAAAATAGAGAAGCTGTCCTTGCTGGATGCCGCTACTTCGATGAAGCAACAGTCTGATTGTTGACATTGAGGCGCTCACAATCGCTACCGAGACTGCAGTGACGTCAAACTCTCCTCTTGCATCAGCTGACGCTCCTTTGTCGAGTAGCCAACGGGTGAAGTGCTCATCCCGGACGAAACTCCTGGCCATCGTTAGCCGAGCCAGCTGTGCGCCTGCCGGTGTACCTACCCGAGACGCGGATACTTCGAGCCTTCGTCTGTTTGGCTGATGTCCCAGCCGAAATCAAAGAATATCTGCGCTACGGCTGGCGACTTCGCACAAGACGTCACCAGGTGAAGCTTCCAATTCTCGCACAAGAACAAAAGGACATCAAGGTGGCTGTTCTTGGCTGCCTCGCTGAACGCGCCAGCAATGCCGGAGGTGATGTTCAGGTGATGGGCTTGCATAGTGTTGGAGATGTTGATAACGTCAGCAAGCCTGCCCGTCGCGGCGGCCTCGCGTAGCTTTTGCGCCTGAACTGACGCTGAGAGTGGCTCGAGGGGCTCTGCTAACGCCTCAGAGGCCGTGTCTGGGAGTATCAGACGCGCAACGTCTGTGAAACGTGTTGCAGCGTCTTTACTGACGGGGCGGACGCCTGCAACCTCGAACAGGTGCACGATGGCCTCCGACGCCTGTCCAGACACGGCACCAGCAAAAGCTAGGAGCAATGCACGTCGGCCGTTCTGTAGGGACGTCAACAGGTGCTGCAAGGCCTCCACATTCCCGAACCTTGCAGCCCAGAAGAGGCTGTCCGCGTGACGTGCCGGGTCGACGACAGAGAGGTGGGGCAAGATCGTCTGCAATATCTGACCATGGTTCGCCAGGCACGCATCTTTCATCGCTGCCACAAGCGAAGCTTCCCCGACGTCTGGTAGGTGTTCGGTCAGGAGTCGTTGCAGCAGGTTCCGCCGATTATACTCTGCGGCTGTTCGCGCGAGACGAAGCCAAAACTCCGCCCTCGCTGCTGGAGAGGGATCTACATGTCTGACGAGTAGGAGCGGCTCCACGGACGCTGTCTGGCTGCTCTTGACCGTGCGTACGATGGTGTCATCGTACAGAGACCTATCAATGCGGTCTCTGTACTCAAGCAGCTTGGCTAGCACGCACTCGTGGCCGGCAGCAGCGGCAGCCTCAATGGCGTGAGCGAGCCGAAGTCCACTAAGCTGTGCGTGGTCCTCCCAGTTCCAGTGCTCGAGCAGAAGGCACACCATCGCCGGAGATTCAGACGATGCTGCTGTAGCCAGAGGCTCTCCAAACAACGGCGTGTTCGAAGCGGGATTGGCTCCTTCCTCTAGGAGCTTTTGCACTGCAGCTGTTTCTCCCGCCCCGACAGCTGCTATGAGAGCATTGTCTCTGAGCTCCTCAGGTGGGAGATAGCTCGATCGCTCCGTCGTGAGACAATCCAGGAGCCTCCAATACATCAAGGCATTCGCTGCAGATGTCTCGAGAACCTGCACGCACCGGTCTCGGGACACAGACGTGAGGCCTTCAGTGAGGTACTCCGCTGTGCGATTGATGGTGTAGCACAGAAGCAACTCGTCGGCATTCCCAAGCAGCATCTTCGAGTGAACAAGGCCGCGTGTCATAGACGCGCACAGTCGCGTCTGGAGAAGCACGGCCTTCGGTAAGCGGAAGATTGACTTTTGTACAATGTCTTTGAAGTGGCCTGTGGTGTGTCAGACTGGGCGTTCGACCGCTGTCTTGGGGCAGGGTACGGCATGTTTCCCGAAACCTGAGTGCGCACTGCAAGTCACTATGTTGTACCGCAATGTCGATGGTGAGCTGCAGCAGCTCGGGTGGTAGGTCGAGTATGTGCATTGCAAGGAGCAGTGCAGTTTGCGTGCTACCTCGTCGCGACAGGAGGAGTGTTGTGAAGGAGACGTGATGTTGGGTAAAGTGGGGCAAGAAAGCGGATTGCCAAGTATGTCAATGCCGTAACGTCATCAACATCAGCTCTGCCTCCAACAGTCTACGATAAGTAGCAGGCTGAGGGTTTCCGAGTACGGGACAGCATAGTGCGGTACAACGCAAGTCAGAATCGTCTGGTTTTAGGGAGCTCAATCAATCAAGGGTGGGCTTAGTCATCGCTCTAACCCAAAAGAGCTTGACGATGATCGATCAGCTGAGCCCCACGGCATGGCTACCAGTGCACATCCCACAGCAACTCCACAGCAGTGACAACCTTGCGTCCACATCTCGCTTTACACCAGACCCCGACCGTGGCTGCGCGACGTTCGAACATGCACCACGTGTGCTACGTCGTGCGCCGATCCGCACCTCTTGCGCAGACTCGACGAGCGTTGTATGCGGAACGACGACACGTCCAATCCACCGCACCACTGGGGTTTCGGTGTAAAGCTGTCACACGGACAGTACTGCGGTCGCTGTCTCAAAGGGACCATGTCGCAGAAGATGACCTGGGTCATGGCGATGACGCCTCCTCCTCCTCCGCCCTGTACGCAGCGCCCGATCAGCATGACGGCAAAGTCGTGTGCAACCGCGCAGAAGGCCGTGCCGAAGGTGAAGAGAACGATGGACGTGACGAGCAGCCGCTGTCGACCGAAGCAAGACGAGCCCGCCGCGACCACGGGCTGGCAGACTGCCGACGCGAGGAGGTACGAGGTGCCCGTCCAGAACGTCTCGGCAGCGGTGCCGTGAAGCGAGCGCGATATGTCCTGCGAGCAGCGTGTCAGCGAAGGGCGAAGCGATCAGGTGGATCCCGAGCTGCGCAGTGGCTTACTAGCAAAGCCGTCACCAGGATCGTGGCGTCGAGCGACACCACGAACGACACCGTGCTGAGACTGATCATGACAAGCCATTGCTTGCGTTCTGGCTTCCCTGTGGTTAGCGGTGGTGTCAGCGGTGTTTGGACGCGCAGGTGGAAGCTGGCCGCTGCTTACAGGCTGGGCGATATCGTCTGCCCTGTTCGCGTTCACAGCAGCAACAGCGCCCGCTTCTGTGTCGAGCTGAAGCAGCTGGATAGTCGAGTCTGCGGTGGAGACCGAGCACTTGGTGTAGGCTCGCTTGGGCTCGGAGGGAGACTCGACACGCTCTTCGTCGAATGTGACTGCGCGGCGGCTTCAGCGGGCACTCGAAACATGCAGCGATGGAGACACGCACCTCTGTTGCAGCCGAAGCTTTTGTCCAGCTCCTCAGCGAACCGACACAAGTTGTGATCGCCGGGCTGGCGGTGGAAGGGGCAGCCAGACCGGCACTTACGCTCTTGCTTTTGCTCTTGCTCTTGTTCTTGCTCTCGCTCCTTGGGCGGCGGTATTGGTCTCCAAGAGGCTGGTCTGCACATTGGATATGTTGTTGGATGTGCTGCTGAAGGTGGCGAAGAACCGAGCTGGTGCTTGGGCTTGGGCTTACGGCTCGTATAAGAGAGTGAAGTGCGGCCAGGCGTAGCATGTGTCATACAGTGCCGACAAAAGGCAGGTCGCTCAACGAAAGAACGAAAACACAGTCTGGGCTCTGACGACGACCGCGTCCTGTGCACACGGACAGCGACGGATGTCGCGGTGCGACTCGGGGTTGCCTTGGCTTAGCCAGCGATGTCGACTGTGCTGCTGGCTCGACGTCAGCATCAACCGATTCCTTCGGTCAGATGCAGGGGGCGAGATGCGCTCCCACTGGTGCTGCACTCAACTGTACCGTACTGCACAGTGTACCGACACGCTTGCGCCGGTTCGCAGGGACAGGTATGCTTCCCCCCCAAGTGGCTTGTAGCCGCCAAAGCACTCAGCATTGTCAGCAGGCCGCTACTCCACGAGTGGCGAGCACCGACTGCTTCCTTGACAAATAATCTAGCAACCCACCGCTGAGCAACCCACAACAAGCCCGACAGCTACATTCGACGACATCCACGTCCGTCACGAGCGAGCCGCCTTGCCCTATCGATCCCTCCATCCTGCTTCGAAGTCCTCCTAGACCCTCCCCTACCGCTCGCACAAACAGACCGACACATGAAACTATGCGACTGCTATACACTGCAGGCGATGGGAGGCTCAGCTGGACTGACGACCTGGTCGGCGACCAGATCCCCCCCTATGCGATCCTCTCGCACACTTGGGGGAAGCAGGAGGTGATCTTCGATGATCTGAAGAACCTCAACAGTTTAGAGGACATTGGTGCAAAGAGCAAGGCTGGTTGGGACAAGATCCGCTTCTGCGCGCAACAGACCAAGCGTGACGGTCTGGACTACTTCTGGGTTGACACTTGCTGCATCGACAAATCGAACAGCCAAGAGCTCCAGGAAGCGATCAACTCCATGTTCCATTGGTACTAAAACGCGAAGAAGTGTTATGTCTACCTCTCAGATGTCGAGTGTAATATTGTTGATGCAGATAGTGAATCGTGTCGGAAGTGGAGTCCGGCCTTTAGAAGAGCAGATGGTTCACCAGAGGCTGGACACTCCAGGAACTTCTTGCTCCTGCATCGGTCGCATTCTATTCGAAAGAGGGAGAGCTGCTGGGGGACAAGCAGTCCCTGAAAGACACCATACACGAGATTACAGGAATACCTGTTGAAGCTCTATCAGGGAGTAGACTGTCCGACTTCAGCGTAGACGACCGTTTCTCTTGGGCAGAAAAACGCCAGACAACGCGCGAAGAAGACAGAGCATACAGTCTGCTGGGCATGTTCGGGGTCCATTTACCGCTGATTTACGGCGAAGGCGAGGAAAACGCATTTTATCGGCTGAGAGATGCGGTTGCTACGAAGGAGAACAAAGGCCGCAGCCGAAGCCAAGAAGAAAGGCTCGGCAAGATCTGCAGCTGGCTCTCGGCGCCTGACCCATCCACAAACTATCACAAAGCGCACAAGCAGCGACAGGCTGAGACTAGACTCTGGTTGCTACAAAATGCAAGGTTCGCAGAATGGAAGGAGGGTGCTGCGTCGCGACTGTGGCTGTATGGGATACCAGGATGCGGAAAGACCATCTTGAGTTCTACCATCATCGAGCATCTGCTGCAGCACTGCGATGATGACGCCAGTATGGTGACGGCGTACTTCTACTTTGACTTCAACGATACGCAGAAACAGGACCCAGAGCTGATGCTCCGCTCGTTGCTCTGCCAGCTCCTGCAGCGTTCGTCTACAATACCCAAGGGCGTCGATGCATTGTTCTCATCCTGCGACAACGGACAACGACAGCCATCACTGCGTGCGCTTCTGGAGGTCACATCGCAGGTGATGCGACAGTTCACGCACGCCTACATCGTTCTGGATGCACTCGACGAATGTACACAACGTCAAGAACTGATGGACGTCCTTGAGACAGTGGCTGGATGGCAGCTTGACAACGTGCATCTGCTCATGACCAGCCGGAAAGAGCGGGACATCGAGAGCTCTTTGGAGAGCTATGTTAAGAAGAAGGCACTATCTCTCTGCAGAGGGACGTAGTGGACAAGGATTTACAACAATACGTTCAACAAAGGCTGTCTGACGATAGGACATTGGCCAAATAGAATAAGGACGCCGCCATTAAGCAAGAGATTGAGGCTGCACTGATGCACGGAGCTCGAGGGATGTACGTGTTTCTACCTAGTTTGCGCATAGCTAAAGCTAACAACAGGGCAGGTTTCGATGGGCTGTGTGCCAGCTTGACAGTTTAGCAAAGTGTCGCAATCGAGCGATGCTGCGCAAGTCGCTGGCCACTCTGCCGCGAACGCTAGACTAGACATACGACCGCATTCTCTGCGCGATAAACGAGGAATATGCTGAGTATGCGATGCGCATCCTGCAGTGGCTGACGTTTGCTGCACGCCCGCTATTATTCGAGGAAGTTGCAGAAGTCGTCGCTATCGATGTGGCACGCGACCCAGCATTTGACCGCGATGAGGTGCTCGAAGATCCGTTAGAAGCGCTGAACATCTGCTCTAGTCTGGTCACTATCACAACGAACAAAGCAGAGGGAAGATGGAGGCCTACCCAGCGAATCATTGCTCTAGGACACTATTCTGTCCAAGAATACCTTGTGTCAGACAGGATCAAGCAAGGACAGGCAAAGCAGTACAGCATGCAAGAGGTCGAATGCCACAACGCGATAACAAAAGGCTCGTTGATGTACCTGGCCCACTTCCAACAATCCTTGTCAACAGAAATTCTTGAAGCATCAGCACTCGCAAAGTACACAGCAGAGTTTTGGAGCAGCCATCTTAAAAAAATGGGAGACGAGGCAGAAGGAAGTCTACTTACGATAAGTCTAATGTCAGCCGACAAACCCACATATCTCAATTGGATCAGATTGCACGATCCGGACCGACCTTATGAAGAGCCGGATCTAGACAGAAGTCTAGAAAGCATAGCCACGCCGTTGTATTACGCCGCATTACTGGGCTTGAGCACGATCACAGGACTGCTGCTCGACAAAGGCGCCGACGCCAACGCGCAGGGTGGACGCTACGGCAACGCACTGCAGGCAGCTTCAGCTAGAGGCCACGAGCAGGTGGTCGAGATGCTGCTCGACAAAGGCGCCGACATCAAAGCGCATGGTGGAGAGTTTGGCAACGCACTGCAGGCAGCTTCACTCGGAGGTCACGAGCAGGTGGTTGAGATACTGCTTGACAAGGGCGCCAACGTTAACGCGCTGAGTAAAAAGTACGGCACGAAGCTTTCGACCTCGCCCTGCACGGCCCTGCTCTCTCTACAAGCCTCTACGAGGAGGGTGGAGTGTTGCAGGCTGTGTCGCCGCAGTTGCGAGGGTCATTTGCTTCCGCATATGTTGGGACACAGTTGTCAGGGTCGTTGCAAGTGGAGGTTCGTACATTTCGGCTTTTGATATGGCCGCAGTGCCAAAACGTCGTGGTGTAAGTACACATCCTCCTAAACGGCCGCTGAGTAAGAGGTTTCTTGTGATGGCGTCTGGACTTACGAACGGCTCGCGGGTAAATGCCTGATCGCGACAATTTGAGGAGTTTGCGAAATGAAAGGCCGTGCCGATTGCGATAGCAACTGTGAAGCATCCTGCAGAAGGACGTGATAGCGATCCTGGAATCTTGTGACCCCGCGCACGCCACGTGGCGATGCAACAAGGGTCAGCCACGGGCTTGGCCACAAACAATCAGCCCCTTCGCTCAACTCCTTCGCTCGCATCATATCTTCATTCAGGTCTCGCCACGACGTACTTGAGCTCTCAATTGAGAAGCCAATGCATCATGGCCCTCGAGCTTTTCATTCCTCCCTGTGTCCACAACCCACCTCATCGCCTTCATTCTCCGCCTCCTGAACAGCCACTGAGAATTCAAATACAAGGGCCGCTGGAGTCCATACATAAGCTCCTTCCGAACGAACTTTGGCATCCGATCGAGCCTTTTCCCCAGCCTGGGGGACTGAAGCTTGCCACGCTTACACATTGGGCATTGTATGGGGGGGAGAAGGCAGATGACGCTCTGGCCGTGCGAGATGAGTATTTGGCGTGGGCAATGGAAGGAAGGAGACCGTTAAAGTGAGCGCGCGTTGCCGAAGGATGCTGTACGACGTTACCTAACTATGGCGCGTTGCTTTAGCCACATCGACTACTATGGAGTTACGTTCGACCACCTCGTGCCGGCCGATGATCCAAACCCAGAAGTGCTAGCCCTCAGCATCATTGAAGTGGATAATGACGGAGGAGCATTTGCCAACAAATATCTTCTGTTCCCAGTAGATCCGACAGAATACACAGGGAAGAAAGTCCTTGTCGTGCCGAGATGTTGTCAGGTCAAGAAAGGCACGCAAGATCGCGAGCGATGTAACAGCTTGGTGGCTGAGAGGGATAACGAGATCCGGAGAAGTTCGCGGAGGTGACACTGTCTGCAACAAGGGCATACCCTCGGCCATTGGTACGGCGTTCACGTTTACGACGACGACGGGCTATAATGACGACAGGCGCAACACGAACGGCCACAAGGATGACGGGCCCGACAATCGCAAGGAATGACAAGCGCAGCATAGCGACACCAAAGGCCTCTAAGTTACTGTATCTCTATCGCCTGTTGGTACGACCATTGCGCTGAAAGCGCTACAAAGACCAACTCTACTGTATAGCAACAGATCGCGACCAGCGCGAACCTACATCAAGGACCGAACCGAACCATCTCATCCTCCGCAACCTATGCCCTCATCCGCGCCAGTTTCGCCTTTGGCTCTGTTTCTGGTTCATCTTCTTCTGACTCATCTTCATCTAAGTCGTCTTCATCAGACTCAACAACCCTCTTGCGCTTCCGACCGCAGTTCCCCTTGGCTGCTGGCTCGGCTTCTGGCTCACTCTTGCGCTTCCGACCCCGTTTTGGTTTTGCCGCGGCGGCGGCATCCCTCGCAACACGCTTCTCTCGTGCCTCTTTAAGGTCCTCATAGCTCATGATCTTCGCCTTGCCCAGTACCACCGACTTAGTCGATCGGCGAGGTTTGGCTTCGTCGTTCATCTTGAGCAGGAACTGAATATGGTCCTGCTGGAGGGTATCCTTAGCAAAGGCTCTTAGGGCGGCATTGTTGACCTTCTCTTGGAGCCTCTCCATGTGCAGTTTGTTCATCTCGTCATCAGGAACCTGTTTTATCATATTAAGAAGCGATGTAAGAGCCTCTCCTGACACTGGCGTCAAGGGTGTTCGCAGTGCTTTGTATTGCGCGCGAGGCCTGACCTTTACCTCATCAGCTTTCGGAATCGTTAGTGCGGCAACCGGTTTCGCGATATCTTTAAGAACTCTATCTGGGTTCAGCGGATACAAACCGGCTTTGGCCCATCCGGCGAGGATATTCTTCTTGGTGATCGCCCTCTCCCGTGCAGGGCTGTACAGGGTAGTGAAATGCTCCTTGCCTATTGTATTTGTGCCTGCTCGTTCCAATCTTTCGGCGTTGTCGCGGTAAGCGGTCTTCAAGGCCGGGAATACGGCGACGTCACACGGCTGGAGCTTGTGAGAAGTGTGGGATAGAAGTCGAGCCAGAATAATGTTGTTCTCGAAGCAAAACTCCAGGGCTTCTAGAGTCTCGTGGGCAGCGAAGCCATCGCTTATCAACATTCGTGGCTTTCCGTTAGCTCGTGCTTTGGTTTAAGGGTCAAATACACGTTTGCTCTACTCCGAGCTGATCTTTGAGTCATTGTATCCTTTCTTAGATAACGCACAATACCATCCTGGGGTGTCAAAGACGGTCCAATTGCTTCTATAGGTCTTGGCGGGCCAGATGACCATTAGTTTCAAGAACTCACCCGCGGCCGACACGCACTCGATGGCAGTCACCATCTCGCGCTTAACACGTGCACCTCTATAGTCTCGTCTGTCGTCCTTGTCTACAAGGACTTTTGCGGAGCCTAGCATAGACAGCATAACGCCCGTCTCGTCCATGTTGTAGACATTTCCACGATCGATATCAGGCCTACGGAGTTCCTTCTCGATCACCTCAAACCAGTGCGTGATCTTGTCATAGATGTTCTTATCGTGACGTCTCCAGTCCATCGCCTTGACTCTCCTCGCTTTGAGGTCTGGATGGCGTCGTTCGAATGCCTGAGACCAATTCTTGTTCGGGGGCTTAATCTCTCGATCGGTAGTGGCACGCCGACGGGCGATGCTAAAGGCTAGCGAAGGCGGGAACTTGACTCTTACGGGGCATCCGAGGTCAGCCATTCGTAAGAGGAAATCAACGAGGGCTTTTTCTTCCTGTGGCGTGAGGTATTGCTAGCCTTGGGCCTTCTCTTCGATCAAGGGCCGTCCATGGTCGCGATACCACACAGTAGTAAGGGGGACTTCGCCGCGGTCTGCTATTGCCGCATACGATTTACGAACGTTTAGGGGGAGGTCTTGCGCCAGCGCCCGGCTGGCTCGGTCCATGATTACTTACTGTGGTGCTGGTGGGAAAGGAGCGAGTGAGAGGCATCTCCAGAGACCGCGCAGTGACAGGCAGTGCCAGGCAACCATGAACGCGCGGCCGCTCATGGACACTTTTAGAAAACCTACTTTACCGTGGTCCTTAGGATTGGGGGCCATGCGCCAATTCCTCTTATAGCCGCCAATCAGGAAGTGCCTCTACTCGCTGGCCATACCGCGATGAAAGCTGGGGTCTCCTCACGACGAACCATAGACCGAACCGTGGGTACACTCAGCTAGTTTGGGGGTTGGTTGGAGCGATGCGTGGAGGGCCATGATGGTCGTGAGCCCAAGATACAAGCGCATGATGCGCGTTGCCGCGCGATAAGCCACCAGCCTATCCCCAAAAAAGCCCTAGCGCATTCTTTGCACGCGAACGTTTTATGAGACGGTTGCGATCAAGCACCCCGAAGGGACTCCGCGAACGATAGAAACTCACCCGGAACAGCCCCGAACGATCGAACTCACCTCGAACGAGCGGTCCGCCACGAACGAGCGAGCCACCACGAACGAGCGAGCCGCCACGAACGAGCGGTCCACCACGAATGAGCGGTCCACCAAGGAGCCCATATCGATGAACGGAAAGAAGGAGCATAGTGCTTTCCACTGGGTTTCAACATGCTACTGGAGGAGGCAATCAGCAAGATAAATGAGCAGCACGGAGGAACAGAACACCTGGCCATCAGCAATACAATCTTCCGCCGCGTTGTAACTCTTCTTGCATTGAAAGTTGCAGCCACGTTCTTGAACCGCAAGAGCGCAGTTGTTCCACTCTCCAAGCATTTCATCATCAAGACGGGGCCATTCGTTCACCTGACAGAAGCCACAACCATGAAATTTGTCGCTGAGAATACCTCGCTGCCAGTTCCTAAGGTCTATTGTTCATTTGTTCACAAGAATCGTGCCTACATTGTCATGGAGAGAATTCAGGGCAAGACCATTCCGAATGCCTGGGGGCAGCTGTCCAAAGAATCTCGCGGAAAAGTCTTTGGGCAGTTAAAGCACATGTTAGACGAGCTACGAGCAGTCAAACCGACCAATCCAACGAGAGTAGAAAGTTGTGCAGGCGGTTCTCTGCGCGATTGTCGCATAGCCCACTGCATTCCTCGCATGGGACCTTTCGAAACAACGCAAGAATTTCATCTCTGGCTTAGGCAAGGCCTTCGGCCTTCAGAGACAGACCACCAGGTCAACCAAGACTGGTTGGACCTTGTTGACATGGTTGAAAGGCAGGATGGACCATGGCCGCCGACAGTGCTAACTCACGGCGACTTGAACCCGTTCAATATCCTCATTCGCGGAGACACTGTTGTTGGAATAATTGATTGGGAGTGTTCAGGCTGGTATCCAAATTACTGGGAGTATACTTCCGCGTGGTTTGGCAACCAGACAAGAGGGGAATGGCAAGGCGACCTTCACAAGTTTCTCGATGCATACCCAGAAGATCTTCAGATGGAGCGGACTCGTCAGAAATGGTGGGGAGAGATTTAGTCATGTGGCTAAGGGTAGTTGTCGGGGTATATATTGGTTTAACCCGCCCAAATGCACCTACGGTGCATTACTGCTGTCTTTTTGGCCTATGTACAGGCAGGGTAGCAGGGCTGGTACCTCACAGTAGTACTTGGCTGGCGGAACTATGATGCTATCTCCTCGTTGTTGAGCAAGTCGAAGGTCGGCCTTGGCTTTGCGAGTTCTGCGGCGTTCTGATAACGACCTTCCGCTGCCTTTTTACCCACGTAGTACCTTGAGACCGTTTCAACGGTTTGCCAGTCTAGTTGCGCGCTTCCCACGGCTTTACCATCCTCTGCCATCTGTGTTTTTGACGTTTGGTAACGGCACCTCCTCGTATACCCATGCTCCACCCGGCGTGTTCTTGACATGAAATCGTATCCCCGGTACATTGTCATCCTTTTCATCCTTAGGCCCAAGGATAAATGCCCAATGGTATCTTTGCGGCTATCAGCTCACGTTACAGCTGACACTATGGGGTTGCTCTTACTTGCGTTCCTCATTGTCGACGACCCCGCTTGGGTAGAGTGCGATGTATAACCGTTTTTTGTTGGAGGGCATGGCAGAATCGTGTTGTGTGCCTGGCGCTGTTATTTTTGGCGGCGGTGCTGGTGCTGCTAGCCGTAGCAATCCGCATTTTATAGGAGAGCAGCACTCTCAATCTGCGGATTGAGGGGTCGCCTCCCCTCCGTGGCAAGCCGCCGGTGGCTTCGACAAGCGCCAAATGAGACGGCAAGCGCATGACCCCAAAAAGCATCCTGGCCGCTCATCCAATTCTCCCATCAACTTATCCATTTCCTGAAACAAAAGCTCAGGTATGGAGATGGGGCGGAGTGTCTCCGTGGTCACTGCCCAAACAGCGTCCTTCCTCCCCACGGCCATGGATTTGCCCGAAGCCCTAATTAACCCGCCTTACTACTCTGCAAAAGATACGAAACGTGCAAAGAGGCTACGCAAATCGATAGGGCGCTGAGCTACCCCAAGACAAACTAAACAAACTGTGCAAACTTGACAAGCAATTTTGTTGCCGCTTAGCGTACTGCCACAAGGGAAGGATGACATAAGCTAAAATTAGACCGCCACCAGGTGTCGCAATAATTCGTGTTCGCTTACCTTAGTAAACTAATATAAAACCTTCGTCTTATATAAATTTATATATAATAAAGATTTTTTTATAGTTTTTTACTAGAAAACTTATAATTATTATATAGAAAACTATAGAGATATATATAAAAGTCTATATAAGCTATTTTCTTAGTATTATAGTTATAGAATTACTAAGTTACTAGAGCGTAAAGTATATATACTATTTATTAAGTCTAATAACTTATTTATAGTACTATAGTATCTTTTTAATAAATTTATATATTTCTTTAAGTATTATCTTATTCTATTCTACTTAAAGTATCTTTTTAAGATAGTAAGTTATACTATTCTACTTCTTCTCTAGTTATTCTCTATCTTTAAGATTATTAGAATAAGTTCTAGGTTTCTAGAGTTAATACTTTATATATTTCTTAAAAATATTCTAGTATTTTTCTATAGAGTTAAGGTTAGAAGACTAAGCTAGATTAATTATTATAGCTATCTAGTTAGCTATCTTAAGTAGAGTAGCGTTATTATTAGTAGAGTAAGTACTATAAAAAGAATTATTATTTTTCTATAGAATCTATAATTTTAGCTACTATATTTACGCTTTATATATAGTCTTAATATACTAAAATAGAACTTTTTTAGAATAGTACTTCTAGATTATATAGTTACTAGTAGAGTTCTACTTAACTTTTAGAAACTTATTAGCTTTCTACTCTTTTATCTAGCTATTATATATTTTCTAAGTCTTATATTTTAATTTTCTAGACTTTAGTAGAGGCTTAGTTATTAGTAGTATATTCTTCTTATTATTATAAAAGCGTAGTAGTAATTTATAGTACTAGTTTATATAAGCGTATATATAAACTATATAGTTTAATTTAATCTTATCTATTTCTATAACGTTATCTAGGTTATTTTTTATATCTCTCTCTCTTAATATATATAGCTTTTAAAGCCTCTTTATAGAATTAAAATACGCTTTATTAGTAAAATATATAAGATTCTAGAAACTAATAATTAGCTTATTCTTATAATCTACGCTATACTTAATATAGTAGCTCTTATTAGTATCTAAGATTAATTTTATATAGCTAGTAATATAGAGTTAAGCTTTATTTTTATATAAAGACTAGCTTTATAGTCTCTACTACTATAAGCATCTTAAAATATCTAGCTAGGTAAGTTAGCTATAAGTAGTACTATCTCTATAAGCTATAAGAATAGAGTACTAGTAGAGTAGGTTAAGTTAAATTTAGCTATCTAAAGGTAAGAAGTAGAAGAATACTTTAAGAGCTCTCTATATATAGAGAGCTAAGTACTAAGACGCTAGATAAAGTTATATAACTTAGGTAAGATTATATAACTCTAGTAAATACTAAGCTAGACTATTATATTATCTCTTCTTATAGAAAGAACTTATTCTTAAGCTCTAAAATACGTCTCTAAAACTATTCGCGCTATTAACTCTATTACTAAATTACTCTTAGCTCTACTTAGTAGCGCTTTTATATTACTCTTATATCTTCTACCTATATAGATTTTAAATTCTCTACTATCTTCTATAGAGTCTTCTCTTTTTTATATACCTTAATCTAAGTATCTAATTATAATAGCGGCTTTAGCTTATCTAGGTATAAGTTAATTAATCTTATAGATACTAAGGTGTCTAATTATAACGTCTTTTCTACACGTATTAATTATAAAGATAATAGCGCTAACTATATTAACGTTAAGTCTAGCCTTTAGGTATATTTCTTATAAGATAGGTAGCTTTTTTAGCTTATAGAGTAAGCTAGTAGGTAGGTTAAGATTCTTAAGCTATCTATCTATTTTATATAGGTTTTCTTAAAGGTACTAGTACTATAATTCTCTCTTCTCTTATTATATTACTCTTAGCTTTTCTACTACTAATATTAAGACGTTATAGTAATTAGTATTAGCTTAGTAAGCTACTTAAGCTTTAGTAGTAGCTTAAGAAGATTATATAAAGATAAACGTATTATATTTATAATTAATTAATTAATTAGTATCTAGCTATATTAGTATACGCTACTTATAGTTAACCTAAATATTAGCTTTTTTAAGTAGCTTATAACTAATTATTATATTATAGTAGCTAGTATTATAATATATAAATTAAGTATATATTTAGTAGCTTTCTAGTACTAAATTAGCTTTAAAGTATTTATCTATCTAGCTATTAGGTTATCTATTATATCTAGTAAGAGAAATAGGTTCTATACGTAATAGCTTAATATAGAGGTTTTTCTAAGAGTCTAAAGATACTTTAGATATACTAGAATATAACTACCTACTCTAGTATTAATTAAGCCTCTAAGCTTAATTATAAGACTATTTATAGATATTTAATAAAGTAGAATAAACGTAGAACTACTAAATAGCTTTTTATATAGGTTTATTACTCTAGTAGATAGCTCTAGAGAAAAGACTTCTTCTAGAGCTAGACTTTTTCTAAATTATTAGATTTATATTCTAATAGATTATTCTTAGATACTTATAGCTCTATAAGCTCTATAGACTTTTTCTCTAGATTAACGTTCTTAATAGCTTTCTAAATAGTAGAAGCGCTTAGATAATTATAGCTTATATAGCTAGGTTACTAGTATTAGAAGTAGATAATTAGCTTCTTAATTACTAGAGCTTTATTAGGTGTAGGTAGAATGTCTAGAAGAGTAGAAAGTATATAACGTAGCGTTATTATAAGTACGTTATACTTTTTAACCTTTATAAATATATAAGCTTCTTCTAGAGTAAGCTTTCTAGCTAGGTCTTAGATAAGGTCTATATATTAATTATAATTATTTATATACTAATATTAATATATACTTATCTACGTACGTAAACTTATAAAAAGCTTCTTATAGAATTTCTTTATCTATTAGTCTATTAGAAGCTAATACTTTTATATAAGATAGAAGAAATTAATTTAGAAGTATATAAAGTTAGTAGTATTTTAATAATATAGCTTCTAGAAATTATAGTAAGTATTTAACTTTTTATATAAGTTTCTATAGCTCTTCTCTAGCTAATTAATAATATATTTATAAGAAATTAGCTTACTATTATTTTTTAGAGTATATAGAATTATAGAAAGAGTTTAGTATATATTTTTCTTAGTTTACGTATATATATAGATAATAATAGTTTTCTTAGTTTTTTCTACTATTTCTTCTATATACTAGTTTTAATTAGCTTAAAGCTTATTCTATAATCTATTTTTTTATTACTTAAAAATAACTATCTTATTATCTAATAGTAAGAGTAGGTTTAAAAACTTAGTAAAAAGCTATATTTAGCTTTCTAAGTATTATTTAGTTACTAGTAATATAGTAGACGTATACGTAATTAGATAAGAATCTAGAATTAAGTTATATAGTAGTAATATACTAGTTTTATATATATATAGTATCTAATTTATAAAGTATATTACTTATTAAGTTAATAGAGTAGGTAGTATTTAGCTTCTAGAGTAAAACTATAGTTATACTTATAGCTATTAAATCTTTACTAAAGTAGTATTTTTTTTCTACTATAAATTCTAATACTCTCTATATATAGTATCTTCTTTAGTAAAAGTATTAGTAGTAATCTAGTAATATATATAGATTTATTATTTAAGTATCTAGCGTATAAGTAATTAGCTAACTAATTTATTAATAATTTTATCTAACGTACTTTATAAGCGAACCGACTATACAAGCAAGCTAACTACCTTTTTCTTAGCAAGAAAATTAACGAAAATTAACCTGTTTTTCTTAAATAACTAAGCGAAACCTTAATGTTTTTCTATAAAAATTTTAATATATATTCCTTATAGTATATTATACCTTATACTAAAGTTATACTAAGATAGATTACGTAATTAAAAAGCTATACGTATTAAACTAACTTTTAAGAAAAAATCTAGTTTTCTTCTAGTAAGTAATATTATATCTTTATAATAATCTATAAAACTTATAGTATATAATATTTATAACCTAATTAAGGTTTCTAGAAAACTTTTATAGAGCTAGCTCTTCTAGGTATAGCGTAATTAGAGGTATAACTTTAAAAAAAGTCTTTCTAGAGTTTTCTTCTCTAACTATAGATATATATAAATAATCTAGCTATATAAATTTATATATTATAAGATTATATATACTATAAGCCTTCTATATATTTATAAGTAATAATTTTAAGATAGCTTTCGTATATTTCTCTCTTTCTCTACTATACTACTAAAAAAGCTTTACTTTTAAATAACTACTTAAAGCTTCTATATTATTAGTTAATAAGCTCTATATAGTTAGAGCCTACTATAATTTATATAATAATAAGTTTATATAGCTAGATTAACTATATATATATATATATATAGTTAGAAGAGAAAACTCTAAAGAAGATATTTTTCTAACTTTTATCTCTTATTACGCTATACCTAGAAGAGCTAGCTCTATAAAAGTTTTCTAGAAACCTTAATTAGGTTATAGATATTATATACTATAAGTTTTATAGATTATTATAAAGATATAATATTACTTACTAGAAGAAAACTAGATTTTTTCTTAAAAGTTAGTTTAATACGTATAGCTTTTTAATTACGTAATCTATCTTAGTATAACTTTAGTATAAGGTATAATATACTATAAAGAATATATATTAAAATTTTTATAGAAAAATATTAAGGTTTCGCTTAGTTATTTAAGAAAAACAGGTTAATTTTCGTTAATTTTCTTGCTAAGAAAAAGGTAGTCGGCTTGCTTATGTAGTCGATTCGCTTATAAAGTACGTTAACTTTTCTAGAAAAAGCTTTTAGAGCTTCTTTATAAAAATAGAGAGTATATATAAGCTATCTATAGCTAATAATCTAGATATTACTAAGCTTTTATATAGCTATACTAGCTTCTATTTAAAGTTATTATTCTAATTCTTATTAGTTATTATATTATATTATTAAATAGGCGATTTATAATAATAATATTAGTTTAAATAACTAGCTAGCAGGTTCTCTATCTAGAATTTAAGAATTAATAAAGTAAAAAAGTTCTATAGAACTAGAGTCTTATCTCTAGAGTTACTTTATAAGAGTTTATCTATTATATTTTTATTTATAAAGTAGAGATATATACTACTAGTAGAGTAGCTAATTATTAGCTCTACTAGTAGAGTAGAGAATTATTAATTTTTAAAATAAAAGAGAGAGTTTTTATATATAGAAGTTCTATAGAAGTTTTTCTATATATAGAGCTTTTATAGCTCTTTTTAGCTTACTACTAAAGATATCTTTTCTACTACTAACTAGATTTACTAGTAGTCTTATATAGCGCTAAAGAAATAAGTAATTAAAGCTTTTATAGCTTTAATTCTCTAGATAAGTAACTAGACTCTTATAGCTCTAATTCTTAGTATAGCTATTAGTAAACGCTTCTTATAAGACTACTTAGTTTAGTCTAATATTATACTATTATCTCTAGCTAAAAGAGTATTAATCTTTAGATAATATAAAAGCTAGCTCTATAGTCTTTACTACTATAAGTATTCTAGAATATCTAGCTAGATAAGTTAGCTATAGATAGTACTATCTCTATAAGCTATAAGAATAGAGATACTAGTAGAATAGATTAGATTAAATTTAGCTATCTAAAGATAAGAAGTAAAAGAATACTCTAAAAGCTCTCTATATATAGAAAGCTAAGTACTAAGATACTAGATAAAATTATATAACTTAGATAAAGTTATATAACTCTAGTAAATACTAAGCTAGACTATTATACTCTTTATTTATAGTAAGCTTTATTAAATTAGATATTTTTTTATAGTTTTAAGTTACTCTATTATATTAGTTCTTTAGCGTTAATTAGTAGACTATATATAGCTACGACGCGTTATTCGCTCTAGATTTAGCGAGTCTAGAGAGTAGAGAAAGTAAGCTGTATTCTAGCTTCGTAAGAGGATAATTCTGCGTAGGTAGCTAGACTTATAGTAGTTAAGATGATTTTTAGTAAGGGCTTGGCAAAAGTAGTCGGCTCGCTTGTGTGGTCGGTTCGCTTATGAAGTACGTTACTCTCTTTATCTATTCTAACAGGTTCTACATGCGTGCAATTCTTTCCTCCGCCAACGTGCAGTTATGTTCTAACATCCTGCTTCTCCCCCTCCACCTCCTCAATCCTCCTCTTCTTTGACGGCTCCTTAGCTGTCTCCTCTGGTGTTCGAAAAAGCGTCTCGCTCGGCGTAAGCGGCAGGTGCAGCATCGGGAGGGAGGTCTCAGAGCCGGGCCCGGTAGTGCTGGTGCCTCCCCTGTATACGCGATTCGTAGCAAACGAAGGCAGCGCGGCCTTGAGCGACTGCAGCCGCGGGCCCAAAGCGTAGTCGAGAATGTTGCGGAGAACGGTGCGCGCCTTCCGAACATCGGCTTCCTTGCGCATCGAGAATTCCTCCACGAGCTCCATGTGATGATCGGGTACGGCAAGGGCGCCTTGCTGGCGCCAATGCACCCAGATCTGAGCGTAGTGTAGGTCGCACGTGAGCGAGTAGTGGCAGGTCTCGACAACGGTTGGTTCGCGGTGTGGGTAGGCGACGATGTAGAAGTCGTGCAGGTGGTTGACAACGGCGGCGCCATCGCGACCAGATTGGTTGTATGCGCGCGAGGGATGCTGGTCTGAGGCAGGCGACTTCCACTGCGAGGAGAGGAACGGCAAGTGGACGTTGGGCGTCAGGCGGTATCCCGTGAGCGCAGCCTCCTCGCTCGCTGAGAAGGCGGACTGCCCGGGAGGCTGGCGGCTTTCGGCGTCCTGGATGGTCACGTATCCCACGATGGTGTCGGCGCGCGGTTGTGAGAGCGGTCCCTGGGTCTTCTTCACCATCTCGTTAGGCGCCGGCGGGAGATAGGCACGGTCGAGATTCGCCTCGTCCTTGGAGAAGATGAGCGGCACCGCGGCGTCGTCGTCGTCGTCGTCGACCTGCACCTCGCCGCGGAACAGCAGGAAGGGCTCCATCATGCGAATGCCACTGCGTTCATTCTGGCGCGAGGCCAGCCGCCGCTTCCTCACTGCCTTGAGCGCCGCAGGGGACGTGGCCTCGGCCAACGGCTCGGGACAGATGTGTGTCGCAATGTGTGCCTGCAAGGCGGCAGGGCGATCGTCGCCCCGGTCGATAAGGACGCGGTATGCGGCGAGCTTGTCGAGGTCATCGACGTTCGAGCGAGAGGGAGAGGGTGGGCGGGACATGGCGCGCAGCGGATTCGGTGCGAAGGTCGCTGCGGTCCAGCGTTCAAGGTTCTCGTGGGTGAGAAGCAGGGGAGGCGAGGTGTGTGTGGACGCGCCGTCGCCGGCATCCGAGAGGGCCCGGACAAGGCGCTTGGATGGTCGACGGCACTCGAGGCTGTCGGATCGAGCCCGCTTTCGCGATGGCATGAAGTGGGTGGGGATGCGCTGCGTGACGATGGATGCTAATGGTGGTGTTGTGGTTGTTGTTGTTGTTCGGCTAAACGCAAAGTCAGCGGCCAAGGATATGCGGGGTTAGCGTCGCAGGAATCGCACGTGCAATACAATACTAGCCTCTTACCTTAAGTTCTAGTTCTAATACTAGCAGAACTATAACTAACTTTAATTATTAAAGATAACGTACTTCACCATCGAAAGCCCTACACCATCGAACCCCCCACGATTTCTTAACAAGAAAAATTAATAAGAATCTACAAGGTTTTCTTAAATAACTAAGCGAAACCTTAATATTTTTCTATAAAAATTTATATATATATTCTTTATAGTATATTATACCTTATACTAAAGTTATACTAAGATATATTACGTAATTAAAAAGCTATACGTATTTAACTAACTTTTAAGAAAAAATCTACTTTACTTCTAGTAAGTACTATTATATCTCTATAATAATCTATAAAACTTATACTATATAGTATTTATAATATAATAAAGATTTCTAGAAAAATTTTATAGTGCTAGCTCTTCTAAGTATAGCGTAATAAGAGGTAGAAGTTAGAAAAATATCTTCTTTAGAGTTTTCTCTTTATTATGGCGTAGACAAGAAATAAGAATTTAAGGTATATAATAAGTTATATAATATTAAGCTATAAAGGCGCGAAGGCGTAGAGAAGATATCTACTACGCTAAGGCGCTAAGATAGCTAAGGTTACGTAGCTACGCAGACAGGTTAGTACTATAATAGTACCCCTCTTCTAAATAGCTATACGTCTTAAATAGCTTATAAAATAATAAAAAATTTAGACTAACTAGCGTCTATAGCCTTTTTACCTATTATAGTAGGCCTAGCTTACCTAGGTACTAGATATAGAATCTTAGTAATATAACATTCTAACTCTTTAGATCTAACGCTAGTTACTATATTATAGTATAGTTCTTCTACTTAATAAGATACTATAGTTCTAGTTACTTATTATAGTAGTCTAATATTATATTAAACTTCTACTTCTTAGTAAGTTTTTCTATTCTATTCTCTCTTTTAAGAACTCTTCTATAGAGATAGCGTAACTCTACTTTATTAATTACCTATTAACCTAGAAGGCCTACGGAAACGTGCTAGAGACAGAGTAGCAAGTTATAGAATACTAGAAAAATTTATATACGTAGTAGAAGTTCTAGTACACATAATTAGTTATAGACCTTTAGTACCTTATATAGTTCTATAAGCTTATTATCCCTCTTTTTTATAAGTCTATTCATCTTTATATTACGCGTATTAATATAGACAAGGTCTTCTATTATAAATTATAGTACATTCTTACATCTCTTATTTATATAGCATTTATACTAAGTAATAGACTAGATAGCTAGTACTTTTAGCTAGAATAGAATATAGCTAAAATAATTAGCTATATTATTAGCTCTAAAAAACTTACGTTTTTATATAGCTAATAGGTTTAGTAGTACTAGTTACGCTAGCTTAACTTCTAATCTTAGATAGAAGCTATAGTTTATAAAAAATAGAGATATCTCTATAGTTTTAAATATAATATTATTTATTATAAACTCTATAAGTAGTAGCTATTAGACTTAATTATCTTAGTAGAAGTTTATAAACGCCTAGAGATATA